GAGTGAAGGTACCATGGGCCAAGTTCTGAGGAAGTGTTTGAAACAGAGGGACTGGGCGTCTTAGAGCAGGACTGTGCCGGGCTGTACAGAGTGGCATGATGTGAAGTGTGAGGCTAATGTTTTTAGCGCATTGGTAACACAACCATCAGTAATTTCAGTATCAACCTACGATTAGAATCATAACAACACTGTTATCAGTACAGAGCTCGTTTTTTCTTTAGTCCTTCACTTAGGTGACCATATGGGGTGGATTGACTTCGGCTGGTTGCCAGATGCCCACCCAGCTGCTCTCTTACTCTCCCTCCTCAACAGGCCAGGGAGAGAAAATAGGTTGAAAAAGCTGCTTTAGATGGATGAAGAAAGAAACACGTTATCTTGTAGGCCCGGAAAAGTCGCTAGGAAAAAGTTTATTAGCAATTTTCCGCTGGAAACTGTTCCTGCCAATAGAGTCATATTGAAAATACCTAATTTTTTTTTTTTTTTCTGAGTGAATTTGCAATTTTGAGGATAACCTTTTCAATTTCAGGGGTAACCTGAATTCTGGAAAATTTATTGATTCCAACTAAGGTGTTTCTCCCATCAGTGTTTTCTCCGTTGAAACATTCAAGAAAGGAAAGTTTTTCTGACTGCTTAGCAGTTAAGCTTGGGGTCCAGAACTTTCTTCAAAGTCACTACTTGATGGCAGAGCAATGATTGCTTATTGAACTATCTGTCTACCAAAAAATGTGTTATACTCCATTGCAGTTAGTATATGTGCCTGAAATTTTGAAATAGCAGAAGTATTTCTTCTGAATATGCTGAAGCTAGTTGTTAGCTGTTCTCTGAAACTGCTGTAGTTTGCATACAGCATTGAATCTTTTGGCTAAAAATAATTTTAACAAATATAAAGGAATTTTAAGAATCAGAATTGGAATACTAAATTTTGGCTACTAGGAACTGAGTTTTCTGTACCAGTATTTAATCCTGTTTGCTCATAATGTTTTTACAGTATAACAGAATCATTTTAGAGACACTATCATCATTAAGAGACCATGGACTGACCCAAAGTGCTTCATGCTGCCCAGGAATCTTTAGGCCAATCAAGTGCATTTTCTATGAGTAAAAACTAGCAAGCTTAAAGACTTGTTATACACAGAAATTTTGTAACAATGGAGGAATTTGGCTAGTAACTGCTTTTCAGATTAAGCATACTTTTTTTCCCCCTCCACCTAGTAAGACCTAAATTAAATCTGCCTTCGAGACATGTTGATACATTGCATATTTACAAACTTAAGCAATAATCAATTGAAGGTGGGGAATTTTTCCTTTGTCATTAATAGGGATGGTATTATTTTCTAACAAGTGAAAGGAACACAGCAACATTCATGGTTTTACTAAAGAACAGCAGTCAGAAGTAAGAGCATGAATAAGATCATTGCAAATAAGTAATGTAAGTACACGTGTTTTCTGTGGTGGTGTTTTAAAAAAAAATCTTAAATCATTTGGAAGAAACAGAATCTTTTGTGTTTCGGAATGAGGGGATTTATTACAGATTCATTTCCTAAAGGAGAGGGATTTGTTGGTGGCTAAGCATGCAACAGAATAATATAGTAGTAACTGGTGGAAAAATGTGTAACAGCAAAAATAAAATACAGTATA